TCTGTCTGCAACTTGCATCTTCTTTTGAAGCTCTGTTTTAGGCACACTATCCCATCTTCTCTTGTGATTTCTCCATCTTCTTCTCAGGTCTGGGGTGCTGGTCTTTCTGGAACCCCACACACACACTATCACACTCTGTCACTCATAACACCATCTCTTGTTCCAAGTTCAGCCATCCTTCCCAGATCAAACCTGAGAGATCTATTCCGTAGGGATACGTTTTGCAGGCAGCAGCAAATCTGCTGCCAATCCAGGCAGTTTTCATCCAGTTCTGCCACATCTGAATCGTAGTCCAATACAGTAGAGGAGAGAGGAAGCAGTAGGAAAGCAGAGGGGTAGCAGGATGTTTTGATTATTTTAGAGGTGCAAAGAAGAGAGAAAGGACTGGGATCAAAGAGATGAAATACAGATGCAATCTGTGCAAAATGGACATAGGAAGCAGACAAGCGTTCTTGTAATTGCCCTTCCACACTGGAGGGCAACTAGACCTCTCTTGATTTAAAAATCAAAAACAGGTATGGATTTCCTCTTCCACTGCAGGAAAACATAGTATGCAATATTTATCCATTATTGAAATCAGTAATATGAAATTTAATTCTCTAGCTGAGCCATAGGTACACAGCAGGAAAAACATCCAGTGTTTCAGGTTCATTCAAGTATTTACATTTTACATCCTTGAGAAGTTTGATTGTGCCTGTGTACATGGTTTACTCTTCTTTCAAGACAACACTTGTTGAAATATTGAAATGGCAACCGATGCAAGTAATAATTACACACTGAAATGGTTCAATATCTTGGTTTAACATGATTTTGCCAACATGTACTCTTTCCTTTAAACAAGGTATGATTGAACTAGAAAATATCTCTTGTTCTTTTCTTTTTTTAAAGGACATTTTCATTATGACTAGAGTACCCCTACACAGCTCGACTTAATGAGGGTCCAGCCCCCTCATGCGTCCAGCGGCGGCCTCACTCTTCCCTCCATTCACTCCCGGGAGTGCCACTCAGCTAGCGACTCAGTAGTCTTGCAGAGAGACTCGTCCTCCCTCCAATTGTCAGATGAGGCTAGCTCTTGTTAATTCCAGCTGTGCAGGGGTATACGAAGACAAATACCCCCATCTCTAATTATGACCAATTAAAATGCCATAAAACGGTACTGGTCCTTATATGGGTATTGCCCAACTGCAGAGTTGGGATTTCTTTTTCTTATTCTGATTAAACAGTTTCCCACGTGGTCCAAACTGAGAAACTATAGTTACTAGTAGAGACGGGATTTTTGTGCCAACACAAATTGGGGGGGGGGGGG